TTTGTCTCAAGAGGTTTGTCCCTTACACAATCGTCTGATTCCTTTTAATTGTTAGCGACTAACCCGCGTGAAACAATTTGGCACGCCCAGTGGGATAGTGGTGTTTGGTGTTGAAAGTAGAAAAGGTGAAACAATATACCTCAGAGATCCGATAAGGAAGCAGCAAGTCAGGGAGGAGTCCAGTCTGTGATCGAGCGATATGAGGAGCAGCATGCCTCTCCACGAACAGATGGACAGAATCAGAGCAGTAACATTCGTTACAAACCAATGACGGAGTTGAGTCCTCGAACCATGCGTGCATTACTTGGAGAATTCACACAAGACGTTGTTGAATAGGTAAATCTTCGAAGTATTCATAATATGGAAAGATTTACTCAAAATGGGAATGCACACTATGACAACATGGCCAAACAACTAAACACTTTGAACGAAACAATGAATAAGTTAGTAGGCCAAATATGTCAATCGGTTATACCTCTTGCAAATCACTTTCAAACTAGGACAATTGTGGGACATAATCCCTCAGTCCTAAATCTGAATCAAGGTGTAGAACTACTTTCTGGTCCCTCCACTTCAAACCAAGGGGGTACTGCAGTGCCAAATCAGAACAATGGTAGTGGTACGCCAAACTTGGGGGGTAATCCAAACATAAGAGATAATGTCTTAAACAATGGACATAATACCCCACGTTTTAACGAGGGAATAGATGTTCAGGCTAATGGTAATGGCCCTAATCATGGTAACTTTGTTGCCAATCAAGGACCAAACATCAGGCATCATGCAAATCAACCGGTTAACCAGCCTATAGGAATTTCATATGACCCCAACGTCATGTTGAGGAATCAGATTATGGACATCGTACAGGATCAGATGGCTTTTGGGGTGTGTCCCGTCATTAGGCCGACGTACACGAAACCATATCCTGATTGGGTAGACCAAGCATATCAATGGCCTAGAGGGTACAAAGTGCCAGAATTCTCACTGTTTACCGGTTTAGGAGAGGTGTCTACTCTAGAACACATAGGGCGATTCACATTGCAAAGTGGTGATGTAACCGATTACCACAAAATGAGACTTTTCCCTAGTTCGTTAACAGGAGTAGCTTTCTCCTGGTTCATCAACTTGCCAGCGAACTCTATTCAAACATGGCAACAATTGGAACAGTTATTTCACGCTCAGTTTTATAAAACTGAGTCTGAAATCACTTTGGCTGATTTGGCAAATCTACGTCAAATGCCAAACGAATGGGCAAAAAGTTTTCTCCAAAGGTTCAAGACAGCAAGAAGCAAGTGTTTTGTACCTCTGCCCGAAAAAGAATTTGTCAAAATCGCTCAGGGCTGCTTGAACTTTGATTTTAAAAAAAAATTCCAGGACAAGGAATTTCCTGACCTTTTCCACTTGAGTGCAAATGTGATTAGGTATGAACGACTGATAAGAGAGGAAGAACAGATGAAAAATTCTAGTAAAGAGACTTATTACAAAGACCCAAATTTTGATATTCATACCATCAGTGACGAGTCATACGACCAGGCCGAAATGTGTTTGGCCGAATTGGTCAAAGGGGATACATATACTTGTCCCATAATGGCCAAGCCTAGACCATCGGGCAAAGATGAGCCCATAAAAGATGGAAACATAAAGGCTAGAACGTTCTCGTTCGACGTAACCAAAGCTGACCTTATATTTGATAAATTATATAGGGATAAGCAGATAAAGTTGAGCGATAAGCACAAATTGCCAAACCCTGAACAAATTAAGGGTAAAAAATATAGTAAGTGGCATAATGCATGGTCACATTTGACTAACAATTGCTTGATTTTTTGCCATGTATTGCAGGATGTCATTGAATCAGAACGAATTACGTTCGACGATAAGAAGAAGATGGCAGTGGATGAAAATCCTTTTCCACAGTCACTTGGAGTGAACATGGTGACGTCTGGATTCAAAAACAAATTGCCAAAATTCAAATTGGTCGTAGATGATGGGGAAGAGGATCCTAAACCACATCCCAGTGTCTTTGAACGAATCAAGGGGAAAGAACCAAAAAAAGATGAAGACGTCCTGTATGCAAGATGTAAATGAGAAATGAATGGCAATACGGAGAAACCAGGGATATGGCAACATCCCCATCGCCCTACCTTTTTCCCAAACACTCAGCCTGGTAGAG